TCTGTCCAATTTTTCCAACACCATTTGTTGAGTAAACTATCTTTAGCCCACTGTATGTGCCTGCTTTCTCTGTCAAATATTCACTGACTGTAAAGGTGCTGGTTTATTCCTGGGCCCTCCATTCTGTTCCACGGATCTATGTGTCTGTGTTTATGCCAGTTCCATGCTGTTTTGATTATTATGTCCTTATAGTGTAGTTTGATACTAGATAGCATAATTCCTCCCACTTTGTTTTTCTTTCTCAGGATCACTGTTGCTATGTGGGGTCTTTTGTGGTTCCACATAAATTTTTGAAATATTTGTTCTGGTTTTGTGTAATCTGTTTTTGGAATCTGAATAGAATTGCATTGAATCTATAGATTGCTTTGGGTAGTATGGACATTTTAATGATGTTAATTCTTCCTAACCATGAACATGGTACATGCTTCCACTTACCTGTATCTTCTTCTATTTCTTTCTTCCGTGTCTTATAAATTTTACAAGTACAGGTCTTTTACATCCTTGGTTAGGTTTATTCCTAGTATTTTATTCTTTTTGTAACAATTGTGCATGGGATTGTTTCCTTTAGAATATTTTAAAGTCCAATCTGGTTCATCCACAGAAGGGACTGTATTCAGTCACTAAAATGTATGCTATAGATGTATATTATTTCTATGGACAATATAATGAAGTAAAAAGTAAATTATATGTTAAAAAAGATAACCAGTCCAATCACTAATCTAATAGAGAGCTTACCCTCTTTATCAACATTTGGTGATTAGGAGGGAATATTGGAGTTTGACTGTTTGCCAACAGAAAAATAAGAAGTGTCCATGTTGATAGAAGCAAAAAACAAAACAAAACAAAACTAAAACAAACATCATTTCTAGCATTTGAATGAAACTAAAGGTAATGTCTTTCTAAATTTATTTCTCTAAAGAAGATAGAGGTTTTGAATTATTAACAGAAAAACTTCTGCATTAAAAGTTAGACGGTAACTTTTAGCCAGTATTTTTATAGCACGTGCGGAATGCCAGGCACCTTGCTGGTGCTAGGAGATGCTGCTTGAGTTTAGGGAGTGTTCTGGTGTGCTGCGCAGCCTCACCGTCTGGTTGCTCTGCAGCCGATCACATACAGCGCTCTGCCTTTTGTAAGCATTCAAATATTTGTTGAGCAAAACTGGCCTCTGGGAGAAAAGTAGGCTAATGAGTAAATGTCAAATCACGGATAAAACAAATATTGTTGCTCTTTCTAAGGAAATGTGTAATGTCTTTATTGTATTTTTTAAAAATTTGAGTTACTAATAGGAAAAGTTTGTCTGCTATGGGCTGTAAAAATGTCATTGAGAGGAAGATGTTAGAGATGTATGTGTGAATGACTACCCAAATAATTTATAGTTTAAAAAGTTCACTCGCAGTGGATTGATGTGCTCAGTCTCTCTGGTGCACTTGGAAAATCTGTGGAAATAAGAAGTCAAAAGATGTCCCTACATTTTACACCTCTGCTGAACAGCTTCCTATTAGAGGGGAAAATAAGGTTTTACATTTGCAACTAGTTTCTGGAGACTAACAGAGAGAGCAGCAAATTTTGATTACAACCTCCTATAACTGAGCTGGACATCATGTGGAGCCTCAGGGACAATTTTCTGAGTTTCACCCCTGAGTTTTAGTCCCCTTCACTGGTGGCAAGGTTTTGGAACAGAGCCAAGTTTCTAGCATTGGTTGTGCCAGTCAACTCCCTGGGAACGAGTGTTTTGTGGGGAGAGGAAAAGGAAATAGATCATGCTGGAGAGATGAGCTGAAGGGGACGGGTTACAGGAGGCGTTGAGAGCACTCTGCTGTGGGGATACCAAGTGACTGGGAGTTTTCTGTTCTGGTTTTGAACTTACCAAAAAAGCTGACCTCTGAGGGCTGTCAGAGCACATCACCAAGTTTATGCCATGGCCTGGGTGAGAGAAGCTCGGTGGAGTAGCTGTATGATGCTCCATGGAGTTAGAAGGATGGATACGGGGATGCGGCAGCTGGACCGGTCCCCCACTCCTTTAGTTCCTTGTGCACAGAGGCCACAGGAAGCTTGTCCTGCTACCTCAGTCTTGACTAGAGCCAGTCACCTGCAATTAGTGTTGTCTTTGGGAGTGTGTGTAACCGAAGACCGCTTATTATGCAAAGTAGTTTTATTTACAAAAGAGAGTAGTATTTCTCTTACATGACACTTGTATTTTATTTGACATAACACTATGCTCTATTCCTTTAGACATACTTAAATGTCACAGAAATGTAAATTTAATGAAACCTCTTTTTCTCCCAATTAAGATTATTCTAAAAGTTCTTCCTTTAATTATATATGAAAATGACTATTTTCATATTATGGCTCATAATTTGATGAGGTGTTCAGTATTTGCCAAAACTGTATGTGCATTTTCTCCATATTCTAGTGCTTAGAACTGATACCACTTTAAGTGTTGACAAAATAAAACAGCATTTTTCTCAAGTGATTCCACTTTTTAGAGGGTCGTTCATGTGTTATATACAGAGTGTTGGTTTGTCCCTGTGGTTATTTCTGTATTTGTGCATGCCCTAGGAGGCTCCGCAGTCAAGAAGGACGCTGGTCTACCATGTCTGTGCTGCTTCTAAGTCACAGCTCTGGAAACTTCTGATGAAGGGGAAGTCAGCTAACTGTTGGGAGACAGCATTTATCTGTCTGTTTCATTTACCTCTGTCCCCTACTCCCTTTGGCTAACCTAATTAAGAGTAGGCTGTGTTATTATCCATCCTGGAAACTATATTAAAGAACACTCTTGATATTACTAACACTGTAATAACAAAGGTAATAAGTGAAGTAAACAGGCACTTCATCCGAATGATCTGGCCAAAGCCTGCAGTGACTCAAATGGGTGGAGAAGGAGCGTATGACACTCTTTCTCTACCACGGACAACTAATGTCCAAGTTTCGCTGACATTTTATAAGTTGCCCCAGCTCATTGGTCTTTAACAGTTGCCTGTATTTTTCCATGTATAATGCACACTTCTTTGCCCAAATATTTGATGGGAAGAGAAGGATGTGTCTTGCATGGGTAAATGATGACATACCACAAGTGTAATAATGGGTACAATAATCCTGTGTATGATACACACAAAACGTGGGTGCTCATTGTACTCGGGAGCACATTATACATGGCAGACATGGTAATATCAATGAAAGGTTATGTTTAAGACCCAGTTACTACAGGAAAGTGACTGCCAAGCTAGTGGTCAACTGCCAAAAATCTATTTCTTGATTTGTTCTGTGCCAGACTGTCTTCCTCATAGTGATGCTTCAGTTGCTAATTCACTGCATTGTAGGAATGCTACCTTTAATAGAATTGCAGAAATGCCCAGTATAGGGAACAACTAGAAGAATTAATTTGAAACCCTCCTTTCCTTATAAACCTGGTCAATCCTTTTCTAGCTCCTTAGCTAGTCATTAAAGAAAAATAAAGCATTTGGGAAGGGAGAAAGCCTTCTTTCCTACATGGATTTCAGTACACAAATAAGTAATTGGGAATTAAGGAGTTAACAGTTTCAGGAAAAGCTTAAAGTTGAGGAGATGGTTTTGTTAAATTGTCTAAGGATTGTTGTGTAAAGAAACTGTGAAAACAGAAAAACATCTTTTGTTCACCAGACTAAGTCTTCATAAGTCCCTGCTTTGTCATTCTGAATCCTGTCAAACAACATTCTGAAGGTAATTAAATCGAGACTTTTGTCTTTTTTATTTTTAACACATTCAAGTGTGTATATAAATCTCTGGAATGTTGAAGGAGTGACATTCCACAAGTGTTAGATATTTTTTTTTCTGTCGCCCATTGTTAAGAGGAGACCAGGAAATTAAGAATGTTTGATTCTTTCTCCTTTATTTGCTTTCTGAGTGGAGCTCTGTTAGAATTTAAAAAATGTGCTTTTTTTTTTTTGGTGGACAAATTATTGCATAGGAAAGTCACTGTTTCAAGTTATTGTTTTCTGGCAGTGATTAATGATTATTTCACCAAGCTAGCATCAATGCAAAAGCATTATTATGGTATTAAATTTCTCTGTGGCCTGGCACTGTATTAGTAAGCAACAAAGAAATAGAATTCACAATAATCTAGATTTAGAACCAAAAAGTGTATTCCAAGTTGCAGTTGTCAAAGCTGTGTTCTTTTTTTGTGTTCTAGAGTCTGGAGACAGATCTCTGTAGATTGTCTTAGCAACTTAAATTTGTTCAACATTACATTCTGAGGTAACTGTTAGCCTATTTTTGGAGTTCTGGTACATTTAATTTTTCCTTCAGTGTTTTGCCGTGAACAAAGTAATCAATCATAGCCTTGAATGAGTTACCAATAAGAACTGGGTGGCTATTAGGATGAGTTCTATTTTGACATATTTGAATAGTTTTGAAACTACCTTTTAAAATAAGGATCAGTTTACATTCAGGCATTAAAATGTCTACATAAATATACATACAGCTATGTATGTACATTATATATTGAACCCTGAGAAAAGCCTATGGACATTATTAATTACTATAGCTACATTAACTTATTTTTGTTTTTTATTCACGTAAAAGGGTAAATAGGAATAAATAGTACTATCAATCTTCAAGATAAATAAAATAATGATGTGTTAGAGGAAAAAAAATCATTGAAAATGATTAGTAGAAAAAAGTATCCTTAGGACCAAATGAACTAGATTATAATGAAGAAATTCTTAAACAGGCCATATGCAACAATCAAGTACTCCCTTTCTTTAATAAATGGGGATCTGACTATTTTTAAAGACATGGCTTTGGATATAGTCTCTGTGGTCTACGAGGACAGCTCACCGCTGTTTGCAGCGCGGTTCTGACTGTTTCTTGAACTGTTTTCTTGGCTGGTTGCTTTCCGTTGGGCTCTTGGCTCTGAAGAACATTGAGGCTGGAACATAGGATTTTTGAGAATGTTAAAGAGAGCACTAAACTGATATTGGCATTCTTGTCCTTACATATCTTATTTCTGTATTTACTTTCAGTTTGATTAATAAGATTAAACCTGGTGTCATTAAGAAGATCAATAGACTCTCCACACCAATCGCAGGTTTGGTAAGTAAATTGCCTTCAATACTAGATCTCCTCCTGGTTGAAATGTAGATGGACAGGCACAGACAGCTTCTCTTATCTGGAATTATTACAGAAATTAGGTTTGGTTTTTTTGCTCAAGAAAAGCGTGTTTGGTGCTGTCCCCCTTACACTGTTAGTACCCCTCTCTGTTTCCCCTCTGCTGGGAGGTTTTATTTTATCTATTTTTTGTTTGTTTTGATTTTTGTGCCCTCAAACTTCACACATCCCCCTTCTTGGCTTATTTCTTCCGCAGAGTGCATTTGTTCAGGATCGCGTTCCTTTTGAGCTCAGCCTGCATGTGTTGTTTGCTGGTTGAGCACAGTTTAGGGAAACTGTCCGATGTTTACCAGTTGTTATGGTTCTGGTACTTCCTGCCTATGCAGGACCTCACTCAGCGCACAGAGCTTGGAGTGTGCTGGCAAATACTCGAGCCCTGCTAGCTCTTTGACTTTAGGTAATAGTTTTCCTACCAACATCCTATGTGACGTTGGACATGTCACCATCTTTTTGTCTCAGTCACATTATCCATTAAATGACTATATGTGGATGACTCTCTAGATTTTTAGCTTTAAATTTGGGACTTTGCATATGAAAAATGTCCCACTCTCTCATTATATAAATATTCTGGTGGGTCAAGATGCTGAAGAGCCCTGGCTGGTAGGACTCGGTTAGAGCATTAGCCTGTGAATGAAAAGCTCTCCAGTTTGCTTCCCGGTCAGGGCACATGCCTGAGTTGTGGGTTTGGTCCCTGAATGGGGCACGTGCGAAAGGCAACCGACTGATCTTTCACTCCCTTTCTCTGTTTCTGAACTCAATGAGCATGTCCTCAGGTGACGATACATAACAATAATAATAATGTAAATTCATCAACACAGATGAAATAATAAATGCATTTTATTACTTATACTATACTATTACTTATTACTATATGCCTAATGAAAAGAAAAAAAAAGACACTGAAGGGACCAATGATAAGATGGAACCATGTCTTTGGGAATAAGTAATTTATCATTGCAATGCATATGATGATTAATTTTCAAAATGTTAGCAATACCTATAAGTCAAGGTTGATGATAGAATTCAGTTAAATTTAATTTCACAAAACACTGGAGCTTAAGAGCTAATAATTAGAATGTAAGGGAAAAAACCATATTCTCTTTGGAATAGTCAAGCTGTGCTTGTAGTACATTAAGCTGTGCTTGTAGTGCTTCTGTTTGGCCACCATGTATATGCAGATGTTAGAGGCATGAATAATTAAACATAGCAATGCCAAAATGTCTGGGTTTGCAGCTGTCATAAAAATCTCATGGGGATGGGGGGTGGTACAGGGTAAAGGATGTGGTGATGGAAAACGTAACTTTGGGGGGTGGGCACACAATGCGATAATACAGATTATGTATCAGAGAAATGTACACTTAAAGCCTATATAATTTTATTAACCAATGTCATCCCAATAAATTGAATTTAAAAAAAGTTAAAAGAAAATCTCAGCAAAATTTTGACCGAAATGCATTGTTTGCAGAGTATTTGTTATTGAAAATATCTGTCTGGCGATATATGAATATATAGCAATATAGAAATAGGTATATTAATTAATTCTAGTGATAGAGTGCATTAGAAGGTATTAAGGAATAACTGAAAGAAATTTGAGTTTTGAATATTCTAGGAAGAATATTCCATAGTAATAATAAACTAAGTAAGCTTTATGTGAAAGTAACTAATGAAATAACTTCTATGAAAATTAAAAGTTTGAATTGTGTTGAAAGTACTCTCTGTCCTTTCAAAAGGCTTGAGCTATTCTTAGACATTTCAATGCTTAAATTTTAAATGGTCATTTCTTGGATCAGTTACATGCCTTTTAAATGAAATTAGCTTTTGTCCTCAAACACTCTGCATATTTGGAATATTTGAATTGTGGTGGTTTGTTGTTGGCCACAAGAGGTTTTACTCAATCTTCTGATTCTATGATGAGATGAAATCACAAATGTAATTTTAAATCCAGAGATCTCTCCAAATATTTCTATTTCAAGCATCAGAAATTTTATCTGGTTTGGATTTCATCTCTAGCGAGAAACCAAAATGAAATGCATTTCCGGCATATTAAATAGGGTGACTTTCCAAATCCAGACAATGAGCATTTTCAATTGAATGCAGGGGCATAAGTGTGACCACAGCCTCAGAACCGGGCTAAGCCCAATTGCCTTGCCTTTATTATCATGCCCCATTGGACTCCTTCCTCTGATGCCTGTGTATCAGGGTGGGTATAGCAGAACCCAAAGCCTTAATTTCATGTGTGAATTAGAGCGCCAGCATCTGTCTAGTGGGGTTGTTATGAGGATGGAAATGGATTATATTGTGTATAGATGGTCTGACACACAGATATTGAATTAATGTTCTTTTGGAGCACATTTATTCTTTTAACAGATAATGGAGTGCCTACTGGGTCAAGAATGTTTCTAGTTTATAGGGATGTATTGGAGGAACAAAGATAACTGCCTACATTCTGGTGGGGAAACAGGGGTCAGGCAAATCAGTTAACAAATGAGCAAGAAAACATCAGATAATAAATGTGCTGCAGGGAATTACAGTAGACTGTGACTCTGACACCTGTGAGCAGTTCATAAGGGACTGTGAAGACTGACCTCTAAGAATTCTTCAAGGAGGAGTATATCAGAGGCTTCTATTTTGACACTTGTAGAGGAAAGTTGAAGAAGCTGAGTCAGACTGTTCATACTGTAACTGAGCCAACCGGGGCTCAGCCCTGTGCAGCCTTGACACATGACCCAACAATTAGTGTTGAAGGAAACAGGTTTTTATTTGTGGGACTACAACTCTTGCTCAGAGCCCTCCTCTCCCATGAGACCCAGCATTTCCCTTGCTCCCCAAAGGGCGATAAGCCAAAACCATGCCCAGAAGTTCCCCATGTCCTTATCTGTCCTTAGCCAGCTGTGCAAACAGGTCTCCATCCCCTCTGGAAAGTGCTCTTGTGGGTTTCAGAGTTGCCATCCTCTCACAGCAGCTCTCTCCTTCAGGATCTGGGGTACGTTCTCAGCCTCCATGCAGTGATTCAGGGAAACATGTGCTGTGTTACACTGGGTCATGGTGGGGTCCAGGGAGGTTCACATCCCAAAAGAGTGGCTTCTCCATACATCCTTTAGAAAAGCACAAGTCTGCAGCTGCTCTCCCAGTCACAGTTTGGTTCCAAGCATCTCCCGTGAATCTGTGCTTGGTTAGGGGGTTCTGCACAGCTCCATCAGCTCTGCTGCTGTCTTCTCTAGGCTGGGTCTCCTCCTTCTTACTCCAGACCTCATGGCATCTCCTTACACACCAGACCTCATGGCAGACTGGACCCCTTCTCTTTCAGCCAGCCCTTATTTTAAATGCTCAGCCTGGAACTTTCTATGTGACTTCATGTCTGGCCCCTCCTATGATATGTTACTTTTGCCAGTTCCCCTGTATGTTTTACCTCTTTTTGGCTGCCATCTTTAGTAATGGCAAGTTATGGCAAGAGTTCCCCGTGATGCACCGACATTCAGGTTGGGCATCCACCTACCCTGGCTATGTCATGAGTCACTTATGCTCTTAAAAGTCACATGTACTGTGGGGGGACTCCACCCGCAGGGCCCCCCTGGCCACCACTGATGAGAATAAGTCTACCAAGACATGATCTGCTTGGGGAGGAAAGGTGGCCAATCTCTCAAAGGAGAAGGACCGTGAGCTGGTTCCTCAATGGGCTTTTATTGGGTTCATTTGCACAAGAATACAGATAAAGCTCATTAATCATTGTCAAGCAGTAAGGATCAGACAAAAGATAACAAAGAACTCTGAGGGCCTATTTTGAGTCAGGGTCAGATAGCTAAAGAGCTGTAAAACTTTGAGGAACAAACTTACTTCTTGCTTGGACCCTTATCATTTAATTGAGAGCATTCTAAACAAAGCAGGTTTCACAGGATTTTACATCTTCTTTCTTAGGCTTGATTGCCTGGGGAACCCACCCTTTCCAGCACAGGGCTGCACCACCCTCTGTCATTGTTTCAGGCTTAGGTGGAGCAAGGGAAGTAAGGCAACCAAAAGATTAGGAGATTTCTTGCAGACAATGAAGACTCAGACTTTGTCAAAGCCGAGGGGTGAGGGTCCATCACCCCCTTTTGCTGTACCCCACAAAGTCCTTCCTTGAGGGCCTCCCATGTGATCATGCCTGTCTTAGATCATTCCTCCCTTGGGGAATCTTATCTGTCATTGGCTAACCGACCAAACATTGGGGGCTAGTTATGGATGAAGTAAAAGGAGCAGAAGCGGCTCTCCTGCCAGGGAGATAAACTTTTGTCTCCTTGGTGGCTTACAGTCCAAGGTTGCTCCCTCAGCCTTAGCCTTCGTGGGGGTTACAGCTTCTGAAACCAGGCAGGGTGGTTTCCAACAATGTACCTTACCGCCTGGGTGGCAGCGCTCTTCCTACAGCTATTAACTTGCATTGTTGTGCAAAGTATCTTGAATACCTTATCATCCACTTCCCCCTTCCCCTAGCCAAGGGTTTGGGATTTTCTCCTACTTTTAGATGACTCCCGCTTTGCACCCCATTAAAATATGAGTAATTTTTGTGTTCACAACACATAATATAATGACTGATACTTGTAGGAGACCAAAGATTTTTAAATGAATGAATAAATAAGATTTCCATTATGGAAAATGATAGGCTCTAAAAGTAGGTATTTGATGAGATAGTGTTACAGATTGAAATGTGCCCCTTGAACTCCCCCCACCAAGATATAATATACTGAAGTCCTACCACTTTAGAATGTGACCTTATTTGGGAATAAACTTGTCGCAGGTGATCTACTAGTTAAGATCAGGTCATACTGGAGTAGGGGGGGTTCCTGACCTGATGTGACTGGTGTGTTTATAAGAAGATGGCCGTGTGAAGACAGACACACAAAGGAGGAGTGCCGCGTGACAGCTGAGGGGTGATGACGTATCTACAGGCC